GTGTGTGTGTGTGTGTGTGTGTGTGGCCAGCTCAGCCCACCAGGGGGCGGGGCTGGCTGGCATGTGGTGCTGGGGGATCGAACCACGGTCCCTGTGCTTTGCTGAGCTTGTTCTAAGTAGGTGCTTTAGACCACTGAGCCATCTCACCAGCCCAAGAATGACTTTCAAAACTAGCTACAAGAAAAAAAAAAACTAGCTACAAGAACTTGCCCTTCTAAATGTACTTTTCCCTACTAAAACTGTTAATCCAACAAGAGCCCAGAAACAGAGCTATCAATTGAATTGTCTTGGGTCCTAAATCTATTTACAATTAGTGGGTGTGCTACACAAGAACATGGCTGCTTGATTTAGATTTATAGCTTCCTTCCAGTCAGGGTGGTATCATCTGGCTTTAGAGGTCAGTTAATTTATCACTTCTGACAGCAATGGATGGAGATTAACTGCCACTATGAATGTTCTTTAAAATAAAAGAAAACAGTTTATTTGAAGATGGGGAAGGAAGAAAAGAGAGAGACAGACAGACAGAGAGATGACAGACAGCTACTTTAGATGAGTAGGCAGAATTCTACAATGAATTGCTCCTATGAATATTTGAGACAGGGCTGAGTTCCCAAGCTGACTTTGAATTCCTGGGCTCAACTGATCCTTCTGCTTCAGCCTCTTGAGTAGCTGAGACTACAGTCACATAATACCACTGTCCACATAAACTGTCATGAATATTGAAGAGAATAAACTGAACAGTCCAGAGTCAACATTCAAAAAAGGACTTCTAGAAATGGCCTGTACAATGTCAGAGTTCTAAGCATGAATGGGCAGCTTTTGAATGATTTTTTGGTTAAAAGGACATTACAGAGATTTTTTGGCCAATGTGGTTTTAACTCATTACACAATTTCTCATGGGGACTTACCTGAATACAAGCCCCTGTCTTCAACTTGCACAGGCTGCAAACTAAGGCCCACCGACTAGGTGGGATGTGTGACAGCTTTGTGATTGGTTCCATCCTATCAGGACAAGCAATGCTGACCTACAAGCAAAAGACCACCATAAGACAGAGGCACTGAGGTATCAAATAAGTGCCTTCTACAAACCATAGATAATGTCATGTGAAGTGCCAAACATGAAAACAACAAGGAAAGTCACATCTTTCAAGGTTAATACGGAATCAAGAATAAATGAAATCTGTCCCTATCCACTGCTCAGTCTTTCAGTAACTTCCAGTAATGTAAAGGATTCCTATATAGTAAGAGATAAGGCATGTTTATCTTAATGACTCGGGGGCTGGTGAGATGGCTCAGTGGAATAAGCACTTCCCTGGCAGTGCAAGGGCCTGAGTTCAATCCCTGGTTCTGAAAAAAAAAAAAAAACCGAAAACAAAAACAAAAAAACAAACCTTATTGACTCAAAGACATCTGTCAAAGAAAGCTACAAAGGAAATGAATTAAAATTCACAGAATCAGCCTGGTGTGCTGGCACATGCCTATAATCTTAGCACTAAGGAGGCTGAGGCAGGAGGAACACTGTGAATTCGAGGTCAGCTTGGCTACATAAGAGAGTTCAAGGCCAGCCTGAACTACAAAGTGAGATCTTGCCTTAACTCCCTATCCTTCCCCCCACCAAAAAACAAAGAACATCACAAATCTAGTATCTGTTGTACATCAGAAATTGTGCCACCTCCTGTCATTGTGGTATTCTGAATATGGGCGGCTTGTCATGACATGCCAGTCAGTTACTGCTAAGATGTCTCTCGGGTAGGTGGATGTTCAAGAAGAAGGGGGTGGTGAATGAAAGCAAGAGACAGGAAAAGGAATATTGTGGGACTGTCC